TTTGAAATTTGTTTCCCCTTCGAAACAAATTTAATGTGCCGTTTCAGCAACAGTCCTCTAGGAACTTATTTGGGGAGTTAATTAGGATTTATCCCGCATGCAAAAAATGTCAATCTATCACTTTTCTTAATTACTTCAGCTGTCATAGAACAAGAGTAGAAAGCTTGCTAGCTACATTTCATTATGAAATTGAGAGGAAAAGGGTCCTTTTAAACGTGGAAACACAGACTACTTGTTTTAGCTATAGGCAGACCTAGTCTGGTTTTCAGCACGCCCATTAAAAGCCAGGAAAAACCTTGATATTTTGAAATATTATCTGTATTTCATTTCAGTGCTCAGTGTCACATTCACCAGTGAAATCTGTTAAAAACTAAAGTTTCCTAAAGCTTTTTTCCCCTCTCTGTGTTATCCGCACACCCCTGTGTTTCATGGTAAAGAAGTTCAGTGTTTCTGGTATAAAACCCAGACCGTACAGTATGTGCGGTAATTTATGCATAAATGATCGTATTTGCATTTGCCTGTCTGTTCCCATATTTTGGTTGCATATGCACATACCTGTGTGTCCATGTGTGTTTATGTGCATGATAGAGGTGTTTATGCTTCACCTCCTCCTCCTCCACTCCTCCCTGTAATAAACAATAACCGGGCATTAATCTCCCGGCCTGCTGCCTTAATAAATAATATCCACACATTCATCAACTTAAACTATTCACAATCAATGCAGCTCTTCATAGAAAACCCACCTAATAAATAGTGGTGCGGCCCACTGAGGCGTGAACTTATAGACCGGCCGGCTGATAAATGAACCGACCCCCACAGCGAGACGCCTTTTATGTGGAAAACTGCAAGTGAGAATTTTTCGATTTTATATTACACTATTTTACTCTTATTACTTTCCTGTGTGTGTGTGTGTGTGTGTGTGTGTGTGTGTGTGTGTGTGTGTGTGTGTGTCTACATCGTCTTAGGGTATTGTGGGTGTTTGTGATTTATTAGAGTGGTGAAGATGTTGGTCTATTTGTTTTATTCTAGTTCTGGGGTATTTACCCATTTGTAAGGAACTGATGTCAGAGTTTTGTCTTATTAGTTTCAGAATGAAAATCGCTTTATTTTCAGGCAGCACATGGGAGTTTATTCTGTCAGTTTAACAGCTTACACAGTAATACAGAACCAAGTGACCCATATGAAAAGAAAAACAGAAAAAACTATATCATTTTTCCATTTCCTTCATGACTAAACATTTTTCAAGCCCCCCTGGCGGCTTCTATATATTCATGTAGGTTTTCAGGCTAAGCCTAGTTGGACCGGGCCACCAGAGGCTCGCACCTTCAGCCTCTACCTCTGGTGACCTTGTCTGGACAGTGTAAACTGGACCCTTGATTTTTGGGGGGGTTTTTTTAGTCATCATAGCGGTTGTCAGAATTTCTCTTTGTCTGGCCCCTCATCCAGGTCCAATTTGCCTTGGGAGATCCTACCAGGAGGAAATCATGAAGGGGATCTCCTTCAGAGATACTGCTCCTCCACTGAAAGGAGCCACTTAAGGTGGTTGAGCCAACCGATTTTAGTGCCTCATAGGTGAGGTCTTTCAGGCATGTCCTACTGGGAGGAGAACCAGGGGCAGCCCCAGGACTCACCAGAGAGGTTATGTCTCTGAGCTGTCTTGGATAAACTTGGTGTGCTCCCTGAATGAGCTGGAAGACGTGGAGGGGGCGAGGGCAGTCTGGGGTTCACTGCTTAGACTGCTGCCCCGAATAAGTGGTCGAAGATGGATGGATGGATGGATGGATATACAAGTCTGATGAGATGTTTTTGGACTACGGAGAGATAAAGATGGTAAAGACAAGAAATCAAAGTGTGTCTCAGAGAGGTCTAAAAGCCTGGTTCATAAAAGGATAAAATAAACTTCATTAATCCATAAATTTGAGAAAAAGAGGAAGAAAGAAACCACCGAAGAAGGAGACCTCTCAGCGAAATCAGCTGAGAGAGCTGCAAATCCTTCTGCAGTGTATTCCATGATTGCCTGATTAACTGGTGATTTTAAACTGGCCGTAGGCAGTGTTGGTCAAGTTACTTGAAAATGGTAATTAGTTACTAATTATTGATTACTTCTCAATGAAAGTAATCCCATTACTTTGCTGATTATTTATTTTCAAAAGTAATTTGTTACTTTATTACTTAGTTACTTTTCAAAAACATGCCACACAACCTAAATACATAATAAAGAATAGACCTTTCAGCCCAATTCAATTTTTTTCTGCATAATCCATCATATAAAATCAAGTGTTTTGTGTTTACACTCACTCTTTCAAATAGATGCAAGTAAAACACACATTCAAAGATCCAGCAGCACTGAGTCCTGTGAGACAGGTGGAGGTTTGCCCAGTGCCGCAGCAGTCATGTCAGTGGGGGAGATCCGGGGGTTTCTCTGTAAATTTCACATTCCCGTGGCGGCGTGCTAGGTGCCTGCTCAGATTAGAAGTTTAATTTTTCGCTGTAGAAAGAAATTTTCTTCCCACGCAGAGTACATTGGACGCTGATGTTTTTGTCGCTTTTCATGGAATCAAACGCAAAGTGATGTAAATGCTTCCAAGCTTTAAACACTGCATGGTCGTACTCTCTCCCGCACTCCATATTAGGGAAAGTAACAGTAATCTAATTACCTTTTTGCAACAGTAATCCCTTACTTTACTTGTTACATGAAAAAAGTAATCAGATTACAGTAACGCATTACCTTTAACGTTTTACTGCCCATCTCTGGCCGTAGGTGTGAATGTGAGCATGCAACATGTCCAAGGTGAACCCTGCTCTCGTGGGGTGAGAGGTTGCTATGACAGCTGGGATAGGCTCCAGCTCTGGTTCTTTTATATCCTGGGCCTGAATGTCTCCCAGGCTCCTGGAGAAAATCCACACATGGGAAGAACCAGCAAATGAAACACAGAGGAGCCCCACCTGCGTTTGACGCAATAATAATGCTGATTACAATTACAATGAGTAAAAGTAGCCATAACACTCATTAAAGTAATTAATGATAATATCCATGCTTAGCTAAAGTGTGACTGTAGCAGATAAAGTACCAATGGTAATCACCAGAGCGTCCCTGATCCCTGTCTTTAAAGTAGCTTTAAAAACGGGATCCTCAGTGTACTCCTGAGGTCGTTAATGTGACTGACAGAAGACACACAGCAGCTAATCACCTCAGAGCTCCCGGCTCATCAATGCACACTGACTGATACACGGCACTAACTGACTTTCTATGTACTTTAACCCCACATCCTCCTGTGGTGCTGTGTCAAAGCCATGGAGTGCCTCGAAGCTTGATTTTGTTTCAGGTCTCACTCTGCAATTTTAGTGATTTTAAACAAGCAGTCCATAAAACTGGAATGCAATGTGCAAACCAAACTGTGGAAGAAAAAAGGCATGTGAAATACTACTGCTACAAGTCTCTGCTCTGTAAATAGTGACATTTCAAAATACTTACAGATAAATGTATATATTGGACCAATATAATCAGCTGCTGTGTTCTGGTTAGACTGACTCTCCACTTCAGTAAGTTTTCAGATCAGATGAAGGGACTGCTGCCATCAGGGAGGTGGACGATGATCCTCTCTGAAGACGTAGCTAAATGATATCAAGAAACCTACACAGATAGCAATGTGGCCAGTGAGACAGCCTGTAAGGAAAACATGTGAAGAAAAGAGCCGGGGTGAGTTTGTTTAGCAGAGGGTTGAGCAGTACTAAATTATCCTCTCAAAAAGATAATAAAGAAAAGCATCAACATATATGCTTGGGCGGGCTGCCTAAGTAAAGTCTGTATGTGGGAAACAGAGGTTTGCACACAGAGCCTGAAAATGATAATGGGGGAAAAGAGAGGAGATGCAAGATATGAGCAGAGGCTGAAGTGTCCTGTAAGTGAAAACAAAATACCTCGATAATGTTCACAGCTGGCTGCGTGTTCGGCTCAGCGAATGGAAGGAGTGTGAGATTAGATCTGCTGCTGTATGGAAGCAGGACACTCTATTAGCAGACACACAGCTTCTGTTTGGTTGTTTGTTTAACTCCCATTTGGGCCAAACACACACACACACACTGACACACAATAACCTAATATATCTCTTCTTTTCTTGTTCTCTTACTGTCTCTATCTCATTCTCTGTAACTGCTATTCTTCACAAACACACACACACACACACACACACACACACACACACACACACCATGATAAATGGTCCAGTCATGATCTAGGCCTGCATTGTTGATGAGGGTCAGGCTGCCATGGTTACCGGAGCAGTGTCCGACTTCCCCCGCCCCCTGTTTGCGTGTGTTTATAGACCATATATATTGCTTTTTAGTGAGCTGTAATGTGTGCAGGCTCATGTTTTTCTGTATGTAAACAAAATGTCTCCAAATTTTCATTTTGTGTTAATTCACGTTGCTCCACTCCAGTTACAAGCACCCAGAAAAATTCATCTGTGCATCATTGTTTCTTTGTGATAATGGAAGAACAACAGAAAAGGTGGAACAAACCCATAAAAATGAAGAATCTTCATGGGGAAGATGAAGAAATAATTCTTTTTTTGATGAATTTTCATGTCGTGGTAAATTAATACATGGAGCACAAGAGTCACAAAGTAACAGAGCTAACAAAATAAAATATGATCTTACCAATAGACCTACGGGTAAGTAACATCATGGCCAGTAGGGGGAGACATCTCAGGTAACTGAAGAGGATGTGAATGTGTAGAAGTCTATGAGAAAATGAAGCTTCAGCTCACATCCTCTATGACCTCGCCTCAATCACTAGTTTAAAATCTCGCCTTTTACAATAATATTCTAAATTCATTTTCGATAAAGTGAGCACTAGTAGCAGTCCTCTTTTTGCAACTACAAATGGTGCCCCCTGCTGACTGTTAGAAAGAATGCAAATTTAAGGCAGTGAATTTAAGCCATTCCCGCACGCACACACCTTCTGTTTTCTTCTTTCATCCGACTGTCTTTGTCCTCAGACCATACCAGTGTGGCCACTGCTCCCAGTCCTTCTCTCAGCCTTCAGAGTTGAGGAACCATGTAGTGACGCACTCCAGCGACCGACCTTTCAAATGTGGATACTGCGGCCGGGCCTTCGCTGGCGCCACGACGCTCAACAACCACATCCGCACACACACAGGAGAGAAGCCGTTCAAGTAAGTAACAGTGAGTACCCCCAAACACCCATAAAATCCACCCACCTTGCCCCCACCTGCCACCTGTTGCGACAAACAACCCAGCTAATACCACTCGACTTGCTCTTAACTGTCACCACCAAAATTATTGTAGAAGCAAGTCTCACCTTTAGATATATTGGGTGACTTTGTCCCAGATAAGTTTTTCCTCTCCTGAAAATTATACTTTTGACACCAATAATTTCACTTCCATAACTTTGAGCGCTGTCTCTGTCTTTCTGTGTCTCTCATAATTATGTCTTTGAGGTCATTGAATAAACTGTACAGAGGACAATATAACGCTCAGGGATCCGCTAAACCGCTCAAAATGTCAAAGGCACCATGGATTGTTTTTAATGTGGATGGCAACTGATGTTCCCATAAACTGGTAATTATCAACAGCGACCCATGTTGGTACAGCAGAGAACGATTTAGAACAAATAAAGCTCTGACCGAACTTCTCTAATAGCAGGTACTAAACTGTGAATCTAAATATTTTGTTACACCAGCTTGTAAATTATTCAGGTTTTTAAATCAGTAATAAAAGCAATTATGGTGTATATTCCCATATGAGTCTGATACAGATCAATGGAATGATTTCATGTCATTGACATCAAATTTGTAGAATCATAAAATGATTAATATGTTTTTAAAGAGTGTCACATCTGCTTTGTCTGGATGCTAAATCAATTTCCCCCAGCACTCCTGAAACCAACGCTTTCTCTCATTAGCATTGCTAATTACGTCACCATAAGAAAACTAAAGTGAGCCACCGAGGGCTTGAAGTCCTGAAGGTTTTAGCTTGCACAAAAGAAAAAAAATATAAAATGGTAGTAAATGGGTTGGGATTTCATTGTTGTCAACAGATGTACACAGATATGCTTTAGTAAATAAATTTATAAATAATATGCACTAAAGCAGCGGGAACTCAGGTTCTTGTTCATGAATATTGGAGAGACACATCAACACGTCCTCCAATGGTGCTGCAGGTTCTAGAGTGGCCATTCAGATTATCTACAGGTAAATATTCCAACTGAGTCACAGTTTTACTTTGGCAGCTGTTAACATACCAGGACTGACCAACTAAAGCAGGGGTGAGGAAATCCAGGCCTCAAGGGCCGGTGTCCTGCAGGCTTTAGATCTCACCTTGGGTCAACACACCTGAATCAAATGATTAGTTCATTACCAGGCCTCTGGAGAACTTCAAGACATGTTGAGGAGCTAATTTAGCCATTTGGATCAAGGACACATCTAAAACCTGCAGAACACCGGCCCTTGAGGGCTTGAGTTCCCCTCCCCTGATCTAAAGGTATGTGAAGGAGACACTGGAGTTTAAAAATGAGAAAAGACCATCTAAGAAGTCCATGCCCCAGTTTTGATGCACTAATAAGAAGCACTAATACGCCGCTCTTAGTCTGTGCATTACACACTTACATCCAGCTTGCTCACCAAACTAGTTAGCGTTAGCTGATAAGTTAGCACTCCATCCAAACGCATCACTTCTGCCTCCAAAAATCAAACGTGATGGTGGCTAACACATTTTCACTGAAACTACCAAACGCTTCAGAAGTTTAGAAACCAGTTGATTTGTTGTCTACATTTTTCTTTTTGGTCTTCAGCTCTAAATTTAGCTCTGGTCCTAAAAACCAAAATCATAATAAGAGTCATTTGCAAACTGCTTTTTTATCCCTTACTACTTTCTCAATCACTTTTCTATTATTCATTATTCGTGATAATATTTGCTTCCATTCACTTCCATCATGTCTGCTGTGACCTCTGACCTTTGATGCTTTACTGTTGGCTGCCTGTAACGTTAAACTATGAGGAAATTCTCTTGTTTGTTCCTCATTGTAAATCAGAGGGCATCAGCAGATTGTCCAGTGTAAATACAGGATCTGTTAACAGCCCGGTAATGAATCTCCCCACACTCATTTCCATTTTCTTCTGCTGGTTAAGGCTAATATAATTAGAGGGCATGCCACGCTGCAATTCGAGGCTTCTGGATGCTGTTGTTGTCATCCTGTCATCTAATCAGCAACAGAGGACAATAAGGATTCCTCCAGTGGACCAAGAGGTCAGCATTCAAGTGGAGGCCAGAAGGGCCAAAGAGTAAGAGACATAAAAGAAAGTGAAGAAAGCAAAATAAGATGTTTGAGTTGTGCAAAATCTAAAGGACTGGCATCAGGGGAACACGGGGGTAGAATCAAATTAACCTTCTTAATAAGCAATCAGAGGAATCCAAAGTCATCATTGACGTGGAGAGCGAAGAGGCGAGAAGGATGAGTGAGAGAGAGCAAGGAGGAACAAGAGATCATGGTGTAAAAAGTGAAACGACAAGCGGTGGCGATTAAATTCAGTTAAACCAAATCAGCATTCTTAATAAGCAATCAGAGGAAACCCCTGAACCTTTTCATCAGCACTTCAGAGTCTCGGTGGAGGCAGAGCGGGACAAAGACAATCACGGACGTGCGTCAGAAATCTTTAGCGGATCGATGGCCTCGGGGAGTTATCTCCTTTCGGACGGTGCAGCGGATAGATTAAAGCTGCCACTGTCACTTTGTCAGGAGGAAAACGCTCAACTTTATTTTCCCACTGAGGAGACGGAGGCCGCGATTCTGTGTGGTCGGCAGCTTTTCGGTGCTGATGCTCAATGGACTGTGCAGGCTGTCAAAGCGTGCTGCTGTTTTCTCTGCTCCGCTTTTTGTTCTTCTGTATTTTGTTCAGAGAAGCAACGTCTTAGCTTTAAATGTCATCCTGGAGACCACAGAAAGTTGTTTGACTTAGTACATTATATTTATGATTCTATTACTGTGAAGCTGCATAGAGACAGCATTCAGAGTGAGCGGACACTGACAAAAAACCCAAAACACTAATATGTACTATGCTTTAGGACTAACAAATGCCTATTTCTATAGCCAGCACACAGAGATTATGCTTTTGTGTAGTGGATGCTGGTAGAGTCATTACCTCTTGTAATAAATTAGGAAAACTAAACATTTTTTCAATGTTTCTTTAAACATTTGTTGAATCTATTTGTCATGCAGCGCTGTGTGGCAGGCAGGATGAAGGACCCAAATGCAGATGAAATAAAAAAGCAGCTTTATTGCACTGTAGCAAAAATCAAACAAAACCCAAAACTCACAGAAACTTAACCTAAACTGGAAACTAGATAGCTATCCAATTCAATTTAATATTATTTATAAAGCACTTTAAACGGGTAACGTGACATGACAACGGACAGAGGAAAACACAGGGCTTAAATACACCAGGGAGTAACGAGGGAATGGGAAACAGGAGTGAGATACAGCTGGGGCTAATCTGACCAAACGAGAAAGGGCGGAAGCAAAGCTGAAAACACTGAACACCAGACTGTCAAAGTAAAACAGGAAACACTGAACACAGGCACGGGAACGCAGACTTGACAAGGAGACACGGCTGACAGGGAAGACAGAGAGAACATGGAACACAGAGACAATAACAAACTGCGACACGGAGACATTACTGACACGGGAGGTGCATGAATATGGAGACTGGGGAAAAAACGGACAATAACACTTGACATGACTTGATGTGACACATGGAACACAAGAGAAGGACAGTAACAAAACCTGAGATCTAAAAATTACTAAAGTATAAGCGGAAACTAACTCAATCAAAGAATAATAATAAACAAGAACATAAACAATGAGTCGCCAGACTCAGGACCGTGACACAGAGCAGCAGTCCCCAACACCCGGGCCCTGGACGAGTTATTTGGTTCCGGGACGCGAGAGTTCAGGCTCGGGTTTGAAATTTGTGATTTTCAGGGTTTTTATCGTTAACTCAGTTTCCCTGGGTCTTTTCCCGTGTGTTATGAATAAATTTCCTATATATTTTCATGCGCTTTGTGTGTCTTATTTTGAAAGAAATATTTACGCGTTACCACAGCGACCATTAAGGGGCAGAGAGGAGGATGTTACTCTCAGTGTTGTTGGCGCATTTCAGGAGGACGCTGCTAATAAAGTTACACAATTACACAGTGAATTTCGCGTTTATCATTATATTTATAAAATACCACAGTTTTTGTCTTGGTCGTATCATTTTATTTTGTTGTATTTATCCGCGACACCCTAAAGACCAGTTCGTGAAATTTCATTTCGATGGTGCTGCCCAAACAAGTTTTGAGCATTTTGCGCCAATAATTGAAAAAGTTTCTTGCACTCAACAAAATATTGTCTTTCATCCGCCATGTTTTAATGTGTGACTGCAAAAGCTCAACAACAATTTCTCAGACTTTCCCAGTTAGTGTTCCAACTTTAAGGTGGTGTTCATGTGGATTTTCCCCAGTGGGAAATTCTCTTTTCCAGTTAATCCAACACCACATGAATGCATGGTTAGATCATGATTTATTTTCAAAAATATTCCCTCAGGAAAGAGATCTTACTAACCAGAGTTGCACGTTTCCCACAAACACAGCCTTTGATTTTGAAGTAAAGGTGTGGTCAGAGTTTGTCTGAACTGCTCGGTCTCGGTGCTGAACGTTGTTGTAAATGAAGACTTCGTCTGTACTTCTTCTAGCCCTTCAGCTTCTATCAGTCTGTGACTGAACACAGTCTGTACTTGTTTATCTCGCATTCGATCCACATCCGTACAGATGAGATTAAGATAAGAGGTGAGCTGAAACTTCACTGATCCTTGAGGGAAAGTGATTAAAGCGGCCTCTGTCATTTTGTCAGGACAACAACTCAACATTATTTTTCCCTGCTGAGAAATGGAGGCGGCGGCCGCTAACAGACGACCGCTGGTCGATAGCCAGCGGACTGCAGCTGCCTCGTTTCAGCTCTGCTCTTTGTTGTGCAGGACAGCCGTCTTTGTGCCTGGATAAGTCGCTGTGACAGAGAAGCTTTGAAGTCCGTAGCTGTTGTGGTTTTGTAAATTCACAGACGAATGACAGCAGGAACATCCACCTTAATGGCAGAGCAGTCGGGGGTCTGTTTTCTTTTTCTTGTGCTGCAAGAAAATTTAGAAAATGAGAATAATTTCAGATCCATCAGCTCAAAGTCTGGTCCTCACGCACACACGTATATGTAATATATATAAACATACAGGACTTCTTTAAATTCATGTGATCACAGAAAAACATTCATATCCTGTGATGTGATGGGGCGAGCTAACAGTTTCTGTCAAACTAATTTTGGTGAAGCTTAAACAGAAGTTTGTGTTTATTTTTTTTAAAGAAACTGGTTATTTAAGAGTGACAGACAAAGTAATGAGAAGGCAGAAGTCGCTGCAGCGTTGTCTGGACACCTGAAAACAGGCAAGCGGGTGGATGTCTGTGCAGACCGCTGCACGCTCTGACTGATGCTGAAATTTACATTACAGGGACCCAAGCAGATTAACATAGGTGGAACCCACTGAAAACGTGTTTCACAAGCTTCATTGTTTTAATGTACTTTCAATCTAGAGCTGCTTTTACAAAATGTGTCAAAAAAATGGGGAGAACCAGTTCAGGTCTCAGCTGTTGCAGACGTTTTGGAATAAAACTGAATGCAAAGTACATGATCCTTCATGGTAAATGCTTCTCTCTGAGACCTTAAGGTTTAGGTTCGCCCAGGAGCAACATGTTTGACAGTAATCTATTCAAAATGTTAGGATGAAATTTGGTTTACAGTGGTCAGTCAGATCAGCAACATTAGCTAAAATTACACCGTTTAAATAACACATTTAAAAACATTTGATTTTAATTAGAGCGACCATAAAACCACCAAATCCAAAAAGCTACAAATGTGACCCGTCGTCAGACATCAGTTCAGTTAACCTGTCCTGCTCTTCTTGGCAGTTGATGACTGTCTCTGCAACTTTCCACCACATTAATGGTGTCAACGCTAGATGGTTGAACACCCATATCGTCCCTGCATTCCCCGTTCGGAAATTGAGATATACTTCACTTGAAGCTGAGGCCATAAGTGAGATAATCATTAAAGACTTCCTTTTTAAAATGTCCACCTTCACAGAAGGAGAAAGCTTTAATAACTGTATGGGCTCAATAAGGTTTTTCTTTAGTTTTTCTTCTTCTTCTTTTTTAACCTGGATTTCACTGAAGCTTGTGGCAACTTGAATTGAAAGGATCTTGACACAGGCAGCAGTCAACAAGCTGTCTTCCCTCAAAAAACTCAAGCCACTGAACCAGACATCATGACAGAGTTTGTGGGTTTAGTAACATTTCGGAGGGAATAATGCTGATGCTGTTGCTTTGTGCGCTGCACCCATCCAGCTTACAAGTGTCTTAGCTGTCCACATGTGAACTGACTTCAACACAAACACACCGGCTGACTTCACTGTGGCTACATCCATCTTTTATATGCAATCTCAGATAAATACTCTTTTAAAAAGTTCAGCAAATGCACAAAGCTTAAGGAATAAATAACTTTATTATTATAAATATTGACCTAAATAATGAGTGTTTTTTGCTATAGTTGAGCAACCCTGCATCCAATAATCCTGCTGCCGGTTTATGGCAGTGATCACCTTATGTACGAGACAGAAAGTCAGGCCCTGTGATGAATGTAGTGGCAGAAGCTGTATCAGAAAACTGTGTCGTGTTTATGAGGTTTAATGAGGAAAAGCTCTGGTTAAAGAGCTTCCTAACGACCGCTGTCCAGTCCACACTGTTTCTCCTCCTGTGTCTAACACCACCTCCCTCCCCTTCAACCTATCTATCTATCCGAGAGCACGTTAGTCTTGTTTCAGGGCTGTTAAGTCCAATATCTCCACACAGCTTTCTCTTTGAAGAGCCTCCCCCCCCACACACACATTCATATACATTTAAATTACCCCCTAACCCCCCTCCAGCGCACACTAAAAGCTCCCTCTCTTCTCTACTTCTATTGAAAGTGACAGTGACACTGCCTTATCGGGCCTGGATATATCTGAGTGTGTGTTAAAGTGTGTGAGATGGGAATACCCTCCTCAACCCGCCTGATAGATTATTGACAGGTGGACTGTGTGTAATTTGTCGGTCAGGTTGTGAGGATCAGGGCAACAATTACAGCTTGCTGCTCCGCTGGGCCTCACACACACTTTATACTGTCACTGGATATTAGGGTTAACAGGGAGGTGTGTGCGTGCGCGTGATTGTGTACATGTGCGTCAGCAGATGTTAAGGTTTTGCCTTTTAAAGTGTATTTCTCCTCAGCTCTGTTCAGGCTTCTCTACGTGCAGACTCCTCTAATCGCTGTCTTTTGTGCGTCTTTCTGTTTGTGCGTCAGGTGCGACCGCTGCGACCGCAGCTTCACACAGGCCACTCAGCTCAGCCGCCATCAGCGACTTCCCAACGAGTGCAAACCCGTGAACGAGACCAGCGAGTCCATCGAGGTGGATTAACCCCCGACTGTTTCCCGACTGAGACCACGTCCACATTAAGACAGTTCAATATGAAAATGTGACTCTTTCTTCAGTTTTGGACCTCCATCCACACCAAGACGCTCACTTCATATTAATTCTAATTTAGTTTTCCAGAAATAAAGCTCCTGAGGAGCATCACTGTGTTAATTGGGTCCAACCTGCACTAAATTAAATGTGTGGATTAAAAATAAAGTTTGCAAATTCCAGGAGTTTCCAGGGATAAACAACAAAATGTGAATGTATGGTAAATTTTTTTGGGCAAGTATCATTTCAGTGTAGTGTGAGAATCACTTTGGTCTTATTTACGATCACATTTGTTTCACCTTTCCTTGCTTTTAAGTTGATGACAACACCTTAAGTTACCACAGTAATGCAATAACAGCTTTCCAACAAGCTCTAAACCAAACAACATGAGAGGAAGTGTCATGGTTGTTGTAACTTTTCAGTCGTGTTGACCCACCTGACTGCGGTTGAAGTAAAAAACTTGCAAACACACAGAGAAAAGCTGCTGGTTGTGGCATTTATGTCCAAACTCTCCACCAGTCATTGTTAGCTTCCAATAGATCAGCCCATTTTAACGGACACGATACGGCTTTTTAATTCAGTTCAGTTTTATTTATTTAGCACCAAATCATAACAAAAGTTGCATCAAAGCGCTTTATATTGTAAGGTACAGATCCTAAAATAATACAGAGAACACCCCAACAATCAGATGATCCCTATGAGAAAGGCAACAGTGGGAAGGAAAAACTCCCTTTAAACAGGAAAAACACCTCTGGCTCAGGGAGCTGGCGCTGTCTGCCGTGACCATTGCAGACTTTTTTTTGATGATGGGAAGAAGAGTCAGTGTATGATAAATAACCAGCTCCTAATGTCAGATCCTCACTTTGTAGCTGATTCTGGATCAGGATGGTTTTCCCTGGAGGTCTTAGCTGATGCCAGCAGAGGGAGTTAAATGTGTTGGTCCCCTAATAAATACTAACTATTGCTTTTTATTTGGGCTCATATTTGGGCCTCTCTCTCTCCTGAGTGATGCAGTGTCAGGTGACCATTAAAAAAACAGTTATTTTAACTGTCACCAGATTTATATCAGGATATGTCCAGTGTTTCTGAAAACACACAGTAGAGGTCACATGTCTCTGCAAACAAACTGAATGCTCTTTATTAAAGCACACAGGAAGAGAGGGAACAGATTTCATGCTTTCCCGATGTTTCTGTGTGGATGGGGGTCTTTACTTAAGACTTTTTTCAGATTTATCTGTCTTGGTGGGAACGTTTGTCTGACTGTTTACACTTTTGACTTGACTGACTGAGAATTCTGGAGAGGAGCAGCATTCAAGCCACATTCATCCTGCTGGAGAAACTCCTGACTCAACCAAACCAAAGATCTCTTTTCTTTCCTTCTTTTTTTTCTCAGCAGAGATTCAGACGGAGGAGTCGGACTAACAAACTTTTGAATATTTATTGGGGACGTTTTGGAATCCACAACAGGGTTCCCTCCAAAGAAAACTCTTTCCTGAAACCGGGACAATAACAATGAAATACCAAAAATATTAAGACTAATGGTCTGTCTGTAGCTTTACTTCTTTTTTTCTTTTTGCAACAGTGATGCCAAAGGAGGGCGCGACCAAAGCAAACAGTGAGCAACGACTCGAACGTCTGAAGATGATGCTCGAGTTTTACATCACAAAATGAACACCATACAAAGAGTATGTACTGTAAAAAAACAAAAACAAAACAAAAAACAGACAAAAAAAAGAAAGGACAAAGGAAACAAATTATATTTATCTTTTTCCTCATATCATGCTTCAGGCACTTTTGTTTTAAAATGTTTATAATTTAATATTAGAGATGATGAAGAAAAGAGGGAAATAGTGCAGAGATGATGGATGCGATGATTGAAATTTCTTTTTTCTTGATGAAATAATCATTTTTTAAAAAGTTTCAATATGAAGTTGACAGCATGTGTTTAATTTCTTTTTCGTATGCTAAACATTTCTTAAGTTCATGGGTTTTTTTGTTTGTTTTTTATCTCAGATGAGGCACAAACATGTTAACAAATTTTGGGTTTTGAAGAATAGTTTATCATGTTGTCTGGTAGAGTATATTTGCTACGCAATGCAAGTTTGAATCCACTCAGATCTCAGCTGTGTAAATAGTCCTGTGTCATAACGATTCACTTTCTATTAAAACGACTGAGGGTAAAAAGCACATTTAATACCAGATGAACACCAAATAGGTTTTTGTGCCTGAGCGTTAAAAAAGCTTTAATAATGTTAATAATCTGAAAACTGTAGCTTCTCTTTCCAAAGACCGGCCGAGTGGATGTAACTCTGCTGTCCAAACCAAAACTCAAACAGATGTTTCACTGCAGGGAAACTATTTTATTTTTTATCACATGCGTGTCTCAGAGAGGTCAGGAGCACCTTTAGACCTCACACAGGCCTGGAGAAATTGGAAAATTGTTTATTCCCCAACCAGTTGGTGAAGGCTGACGACAGAATCATCGCTAAAGTCACACAGGCCTACAAACCAGTGAGAATCCACCTGGAAACCACAGGTTACCAGAGAAAAACCCCACACTGGTTGGTGGACATTGCTACACCAAACACGCCCTTGGGATTCCTCTGACCTCTATCAGGTTACTGCTCTCGGCTGTAAATTGTGCAGAAAACCAAAAGGTGTGATGCAAACCAGAAACTAGTAAAAAAACCATGAAATTAGTGCTGACACGGCATATTTCCAAAGGTGAAAACTGTTATTTTTGCAGGTGAATGGTTCTATTTCTTTCACTATTGATTGGCAACTGTGTTTACAGACACATCTTCTGTGCAAACTGCAGGCAACAGAAGCAACCTGCTAGTGACCAAAGCAATGAGGAGGATTTGGTGCAGCACCCTGTTAGCATCCAACTTCACCTAGCAACTGGCAGCCTCCAGCCTCTGCAATAAAGATAATAAATCCAGATGTTTGGGCAGTCGAGCATCTGGACAGAGGTGCCCCTCAAACTCTTACAGACTCGTTTGTGTTCTTAAAAGTAAAACAGTTTTGCACCTGAGAGAAATATCTCTTTACTCAGAACGCAGCTTGATCCAACGATGTATATAGAAAGATGCAAACTGTGGATCAGTTGGGACTAAAGTGAAACTTTGACCAAACTCACTTCTTGTTCAGAATCCAGAAGCCGGACTTTAACACTATAACCTGAGAAAAATGTAGCTCCAACAGATGTTTCTAATTAAATAGGTAAGTATTCTAATAATAATTTAGGCAATATAAAGATTTACCTTCTGTGTTCTAAGTCCTACTTCTGACATTTTCAGTGTTAAACTCTGATGATGACCTGAACAGAAAGTGAAACTTACTTGGGGCCTCTGATGATGATGATGATGATGATAATCATTTGCTCTGTAATGTCAAACAGAAAGTCTCCAATTTCAGCTCAATCTTATTTGCATGATTCCCTCAGCTCCCCTCCCTCCTCCCATTCCCATTTTTTAAAAAGATTGACAAAATGAGATCAAATAGCAAAAAGACGTTGTTCCAGAGGAAAATAAAGCTGACATCCACTTTTGATTCTTACCCATGATGCTCTCTGTGATCTTATTGTCTTACATTGTTTGCTGAAATCACCTGCACTACATTAACTTTCTGGGGATGACAGAAAAATGTAACCACTTTTATGTCCGCGGCAATTTGTTGAGCTTGAAATTTGTCTTGTTTACAACAAAAATTGACAGCGCTTTCATCTCTGCACAGAAAATATTACTACTGTGAGCCGACTTGGCTTAAGGCTCTTTCCAGAAGTGAGTCTCTCCAAATGTCCTGTTATAGAGCAGAAATAACTGGTCTGGTACAAAAATGATTTTAGCCTCTTGTAACATCATCGTTATAGAATTTCTTTGTTGTCTTTTTTATAACTCATCCATCTGGATTTATTGCTGCTACATTATATTTACAGATGATATGATTTACTTGTGAAGGAGTCCAAAAAGTTTGTCCTTGATGGGGAAAATTCTCTTTTCCATTAATTAAATTTAAATTATGTTTATGAAAGTAGCTTTAGCAATGTAAAAAAAATGACTGAAGGTGTTATTAGCTTGCTATCATTAGCTGAAAAGTTTTTTTACTGTATCTAACAAATATGATCACGTATGGCTCCCAAAAACGGCATGATCAGTGGTCATGATGGTAACATTGAACCTTCAAAATGTATCTAGAAAGAAAATGGTTACATCACGAAGACCCCAGCCATCTTTTATATACAGTCTTTGGTGTTTACCCTTCATGTATTGGTGCTGTCAGTTGTTACTGTCAAACCTTTAAGTGGTCACAGAGGTGCTGATCAGACGAGAATCGGATATTAATCAGATTAAAATGATCCCTGTTCCCAAATTCCATTTTTAAATAATTTCTGAAGTTTTTCACCTTCACACGGCTTAAATATTTTATCTTCTTGTCACACAGGATGGTCCATCCCTCAATCACCAGCTGCCTCTACTTACTGCTAATAATGTGTGACACACACAGCCCTGCCTTGACCTCCTCTCTGTCAGTCTGCAAGCTGCATTTTCAAACTTTCCAGTCTGATTTCTGAAATTATTCCTGTGAGGATTCAACAAAATTTTACCAAAACAAACACAAGGCGAGCCTTCAGACATCACTCACAGGGATTTTTTTTTTCACCGTGGGAAACTGATCCAAACTATGAAGCCAAACAAATGATCCCACAACGAGAAGTTTGAGGAGTTTTTTTCCCCCCACTTTCTAAATGTCTGACAGACACATGAGTGAGTCAAGATTAGATTACACGTAATGAGATTATGGCAGCGATAGTTTTAATTAGAAGCAGTTAGTGTGAAGGAAGAAAAACAAACGTATAGAAACTGCTGACTGAGAGACGAGAGAGAAGGAAAACTGTTCAGTTTAATTTGTTTGAACAAGTGAAAAATGAACAAAGACATTAAATTCCCAGGAAGAGGAAAAAAAGAGAAGAATGCCTGATTTATGACCTCAGCCTAAATAATTTAAAACATCCCCAGCTGAAAGAGAATCCAGATTATGCAATGAGGAAAATCAGAAAAAAGGAAAATTGCACACTAATTATAGCAATCGCTCATTTGGAAATGAGTTGAAATGAAGGGAAAAAAGTTGTTAATGTACAACAGGATGTAAATTAGACCATAAACAGAGTACTTGTAATAGAAATCAGGTTACTGTGACCCAAGAACAACTTAACCCTTGAGCAATAATGAAACTTTACTATTACAAGCTTTGCTTAACATCAAAGGAGGTAATAATATTAAACTTTTTTTTATTATAAAATGATAATAAACAAAACATGTAACAAACAGAGAGAAAACTACCAAAAAAACAACACTGAAGAAAATAAAAACACTAAACTACAAAACGGGATCGAAGCATTGCAGGTTTAGGCATCACAGCCTTCAGGGCTGGAAAACCAAAGGTGCTCTAACGGGGGCTTAGACTCCCAAAGTGAGTCCATCTCCACAGACTCCTGTCATAAATGTCCAGTTTTAAGTTTAGGGTCGTGTCCTCTTTGACAGGCAGGTGGATGCTGAGACATGTAGCTGCAGCTGCTAGCGCTTCGTGTTTGCTAAGTGAGTGACTGAATCAGACTTTTAAACCAGGTTTGTGCTGTTGATT